TCATTCGTATTCTGACGTTGACTTTACAAATGTAGATGAAAATAAATCAGTATCGTCTAAAGCATATGAGTATAGATTGGGGCAATCAACGATGGATATTAAAAATGATATTGTCTAACTTTTGGATAAACGATGGAGAATATGTTGATGAGATAGTTAAGTTACGAGAGCAAATACCGGTGTTTTAGTTAATGACTAGTTCAATATTATATTCATGATTTTATGAATGAGTTATGTAATGTAACTGAAGTTAACAAATTATCAAAAAATATTTGATCATTTTGTTTAATGTATTATGATATGAATGATTTAAAGTTATTGTATCTTTAAGATTTCATAAAGCATGATTAAATATGTGAATTACAAATATCTATTAAATATATGAATTCTATATAATATGAACAAAAGAGTGTAATACAACGCTTTCAAAACAAAAATTTTCAAACTAAAGTACTGTTTCAACAAATTTTAAACAGCAAAATTTCCACAGCAATTTTAGAACTCAGATTATATTGTCACAACTATCCCAAACACACTCTTAATCTGCAGCAAAGTGATGCTAGAGAATTTAAGTATGCTAGTGATTCCTCCATCCCTCAATACCTACCTTCTTCCCATATTTCTCTACAAAATTTATGGTGAGGAAACATAAAACGAGGAAACATAAAATGCATAATAACATTCATCCAAAAATTATGTATTCACATTAGATAACACTTGTTAACTAAACCAAACATCCAGCTATCAACTTTATGTGCTTGAAGCATAAATAACAGAAGGAAGTTATAACAGTTCAGCAATAAAAGAGTGCAAAATGAAAACAATCTCATATTATTTGATTGGATTTTTACCCATTGAGGTACCCATTGGGGCAAGGAATAAATTTCATGCTTAAACATAGGACCAGGATCACATGAAAGCCATCCTGTAGACAAGTCCTGAAAGAAATTCAAACATAAGAACTAAATAATCAGGTACCCAGAAAAATCAGATGGAGTCATATTGAATTGAGCATGATGAATTTCTTGAACTAAATATTTACCTTTCTTGGGCATGTTAACCATCGAAAGCGGCCAAAAATATTCGCCAACTGCATAAATAAAAAAAGAAAAATAAAATACAACAGCTTCCAATATTTGAATAAAATAGATGCACCAAAAAGGGAGCCCTAAGATGTTGACTGCAATTGTCCATCTTCATGTTATCATCATCATCATCATTAAACACATCCCAACTATTAGAGATCGGTTAGAATGTCCTCTAATGCTATTCACATATTAGAATCATTTCTGTGAATAAAATAGATTAGCACCAAAAAGGGCGACGCAATTCACAGATTGCTAATCAGGGATCTCTGGACATGTTAGATCGACTAACTTCAAGACCATGTCGACTTAGAGTCTTAGTAGCTTGAGATGACAGGCCTGTGGTACCTTGAACCAACTATCTCTACCTTCTAGTTATTACTCCTCCCTTCCTTTAACTGCCTCTGCTCAACCATGTTGCTCATTTTGACTTCTTTGGTATAATCTGAATTACCGATAAGCTACTGCTCGTTTGAGTTATGACGATTTGTTCTCCACTCTTATGACTCGATGTGCTTTGACATATAGGGATACCTCGTTAAGATGACTTAGTTAATTTGTAGGCTTGATATGCTGATGAGTTTGTTACCCATATGAGACAGTGAGACTCACTCTCCAACCTATGGCTTATTGTGAGTTTTGAAAGCATCAAAATATTCCCATGTAAAGTAAACATTCTTTGATAGCCCTACGTCACTTGTCATTAGTAATGTAAGCAAAACTCCTTTGGATCAAGAGTATTCCTAGGCATGTAATTAAACAAGTGGGCTGCGTCCTACTGGGAGTACTATATACCCCATAACAGACAAACACACATGAATCTCTGGTTATGGGTAGTCCACATCGATATTATTTCGTTGATATTAGTCTAAGATGCTTTTGTACGATCATATTTGGAAGAAAATACTTGACATAACCTTGCGAGCTTTATCACACATAAACTCTTAATGTTTTATTTCTCTTATTTATCGTCTTTGTACCATGTCCATATTTTCCGGTTCCCTTCATCTACTGATCGTTCCTACGATCCAAAAGAGAGACTTATTCAAAAAAGGAAAGTATACAACGATGGACAAGCTTTCAACTTCTTAAAAAGAAATAAAGAGAAGGAAACAAAAACAACCATTTTCCCTTTTCTCTCTGACTCTGTCTTTTCTCTATCACACACTCTCTCTGTCCTTCTTATGTTTTATTCTTTGGGTGTGATTCCACGAACAAAATAAAATTCACTAATTCATAATTTTTTATTAGCTGCAATCATTATCTCTAGTGAAAATTTGCTTTCGTGATTCATTGACTTAGAATAAATACTAACAAAATGAAACCATGTAAAACTATTAAGCAACCATTTATGATATAGTTGAAATTTGATATCACGAGAAACCTCCATTTCCTATAAAATAAACAAATGATCTTTTATTCATTTGTATTGTCATGATAAATCAGTCTTTCATGCATTAATTCAAATGGGTATACATAATATGTTAACTGGGGTTGCTTAAAATTCTCTTATAATTCACATGACATATTTAGAAGCAACATGTCTATATTTTAGAAAATAAATATAATTATACAAAGACATAAATTTTTTTTTTTTTTTGCTTTAATCTATAGAACGAGTGATTCCCACATCTTTTAGTAATATTGAAATCATCATTAGTGTTGAAATTAAAGTTTTATAACTAAAGAATGTTTGCTTTGCTACAAAAATGTAAGAAAAAATCAGTGTAATTTAAATATAATATATTTTTAATATTTTAAAGTTTTTTTTTATTTGGTGTAAAGAAAATGCATGGACTAAAGTTTCTTTGATTGACTTGAAAAAAATAAATCATTATAAAATATGGGGGGGGGGGGGGGGGGGGGGGGTGGGGGGGTAGCGTTGTTCTGAACTCAGGACAATGTCATTGGCAGACGACAGGCGGTGGCGAAGTCGGTTGGAGGCAGGTAGCTTTAATAGTAGGGAATGAGTAAGGAGTGATTAGTGATGATAGCGATAAGCGGCTTGAGGTAGTTATGGGCAACAATAGTTGGTGACGATCGATTGACACCAATAACAAATATGAAAAAAAAAAAAATCTAACTTCATATGGATAAAAAATAATGATATTCAATAAAAAAACACAAATAATTATACATTATTCATAAATCAACACATTGGGCAAGTAAAATCAACAAATTATGAGAAATATAAATACAAACAAAAAATTAATTAGCAATCTTAATTTAAAATTCTAAGAAAATATGATTACTAATAATCTGTTAGAATATTACAAAAAATAAAATACAAGTAATTTGAAAAAATATAAATCATCGATTTTTAATATTTTATTATCATTTATAAATTAAAATTTTATTTTTATTGATATAAAATTTTAATATTTTTTAAATTTGGAAATACGACATTGCAAGTAAGCGAAGTGTCGATGGCACCCAACACGACAATGGCTACCTCAATAGGATCCGTTATTCCTCTATTATGCTCATCAATTGAGAAATCAAAATAAGAGAAACCTCCTTTTTGTCTTTTTCTTGCCATTGGATGATGGTGCATAGGATTACCTCAAAACTATTTTCAAATTGGAAGTTTTACATGCATATCACTTAATTTCTTCTTATTTATATACTTAAACTTTAATTTTTACATTTATATGCCTCCGCATATCACTTAATTTCTTCTTATTTATATATCTAAATACTTAAACTTTAATTTTTACATTTATATGCCTCCTCATTTATGCATAAATAGGTATATTTTACTTTTTAATAGTTAAAATGGTTATAATTTTGAAATGATATAAAAGATTTGAGTGATCTAAATGTTACAAATAAGGGGTATTTACCTAGATAGCACCCTGAATATTAGGATTTACATGCCACACCCAAAGTTTATTATTAAGAAAAAAAAACATCTAACGGTTGTACAATCTGACCAACTTTCTCGCATATGGAAGCTTTCTCCATGTCCAGACTGCCTCAGATTTGTTCACATCTTTTGATAGGCGTAATGGACCGACACAATAGCCATATGCTCGCTACGATGGTAATGGGGAACAATTTATGAAAGACACAATTAGGACGGTTAAAGATCCGATTTCGAGCTGAGTTGGGGTCGGCTTAATATCGAGCTAAATTAATTAAATTTAAAACCTAAAAATAGTACGACTGTTGACGATTCAATTTAGAACTGAGTTGGGGTCAGCTCGAAATCGACTCGAAAAAAATTCGATTTAATGTTTTGGTTTGTAGCTACATTTATTTAGATCTCATCTTGATCAAAGCCAAAATTTGAATTAATTTTCAAGCAATTAACGATTTTTGAGCTAAACTAGCTAAATTCACTACTTTAATGTAGTACGACTATTAAAGCAATTAACGATCTTTGGCTCATAGCTCGACTCATTTATTTCGATAAAATCTCGATTCAAGCAAAAAATCGAATCAATTTTCGAGTGATTAACGATTTTTGAGCTAAATTCACAGCCCTAAAAACAACAATCCTTAAAGCTAAGAATGAGCTCAGCTTGAATGAGCCCATGGCTTATTAGTGCCTGACCCGATCAATTTTATTTTTTCAAAATAGACACATGTTTGAAATGACTCATGAATAATATGTTTGTATTTAACTTCGCTCATATTCTTTTGATTAATTAACTCTTTTTCAACTCAAATTATATTTCATACTTCCAATAAATGCTCATAGAATGAGGCGTGTAGAGGATAACTTGAGACTTGGAGATGACATAATTGTAAAAGGAGGAAAACATAGCATTTTGTTCGAGATATTATGAAGTTTATAGAGGCTCTTTTTGTAAATTACTTGGGCTATGCACGTAAAGCCCCATTGATACAAAGTACATATGTAAATAAGTGAATTGAGTGGTATTGCATGTAAATGTCCCTTTAAAGTGTAGGCTTTAGATTTCACATTTCCGTTTTCTTTCCCTTTTCTGAATCCATGATTTGAGTTTTAACAGTTAGTCCCGTGAATCGAAGATCCGATCTTCCAGAGCTTCATTCATTGCACCGCGCGTAATTAGAAAGCTTCTAGTTGATGCAAGAACAAGGAATCCATTTCCATTTGTTTGCACGATACTTTGTTTTGCTTATTCTAGGGTTAGAAAGTTTTTTATTTCGATTCTCGGTTAATTTCAATTGTAATTATGTCCAGGTAGGCAGAATGCGGCATTTGAAATCTTTTTTTTTTTAATTTTTTTTTTCAGGTTCAGTTATTGCATGAGTAGAGAATCACATGGATTCTTCATCCAAAAATCTCTTGTTTGAAGGGGAAGGCACAGATGCCTCTTCGTATAAGCAGGAGTGGATTGAGTATAATTTCCCCCTGTTTTAATTTATGGTTGAGTGCAGTTTTATATTTAGAATTCTTTTTAGAAACTTGTTTTTGGCTCTTTGGTTGGAGAAAATTACGGCATTCAATGGTTTCAATGTCCTATTTCTCCCAAACAATTTTCTATTCTTTATTAATATAGGATACAAGAAAATCTAAAGCAGAAAGTGGTTCTTGAAGATGATTTCACCTGGATAATATCCCCACAAAGCTCTTGTTTGGATCAAGTTGGTGATGATGAGGGACTTAAGTATATTGGAGGGGTTGATGTAAGCTTTGTGAAGGAGGACCCTTCTTTGGCTTGCGGTGCTCTTGTGGTATTGGATGCTTCTAATTTGAATGTTGTTCATGAAGAATTCAAATTAGTTCGTTTGAAAGTACCCTATGTTCCTGGTTTTCTTGCTTTTAGAGAGGTTTGACTTCTTGATATTATTCATGGAGTAATATATTTATTTATGCTTTATTTTTGCTATATTTTTCACCTTTCAGCAATCACTTTTTAGTAAACCTTTCATCCTATAGAAGGAGAGTGGGTTTGGCAAAGGTTTTAAAAATCGGATCTGACATTGAATCAGAAGAAGATTGGTTCAAAATTCTAGGTTCAGTTGGGTTTCAAATGGATGATGCATTAAGTAGTTATATTATTTTTATATTTTTTAGATGATATAATAATGATATTTTCACCAATTTTTCATGTAATATTATAAATTAGTAGCTTAATTTTAGAATAAATTAAATATAACTAAATCAAAATTTTTAGATATATTATTTTAATTATTGTCTTTATTTTTAATATATTTACTTTATTTCTAGCCATCAAGTCAAAATTTAAAAAATCATAAACAGATAAATAGCAAACACGAGTAGTTCATTGAAACTCAGACTAATTCATTGGTTCCTCAATTTAACTCGTTCCAATCTGTTCTGGCCAATTTTGCATTATTGTAAATTTGGAATTGGATTGAATTGATCAGTGGACCAGTTCGTAGTTTGACCGATCCGACTAGCCCATTTGATTAAAATTTTAAAACCATAAGTTTGATTGTTTAAGACTCTTTGGAGGAGAAAATTTTATAATTAATTCTTTTCCGCACATTGAAATTAAATATTCTGAAGCCTCCTATTTATGAATTCGTGAGAGTTGGTATTCTATACTTAGTAAAGGATTATTTAAAACTAATCACAAGATAAGATAAAGATAATGAGAAAGAAAAAAAGGAGTGATTTCAAGAGGTGGAATAAGGATGGACCTCAGCTCTTATCAATGATGAATGGAAGTGTCCAACAACCTCATGTAATGAGATGGCACAACATAGCTTTACATGGAAACATGTATCTTTCTTATTGAATTAAGTTCCATCTTGGTTTTGTATAGTTTATGTATGGGCTTGTTAAGGATCAATTTTGTTTCTTTTTTTTTGCTTTTTATTTTGTTTTTATAAACATGTTTGTTTAGTATGTTTTTTTACATGTTTTTATTTTTTGTTTCTAAAAATGGATTTACATTTTGTTGAAAGCACTCAAAAATAAATTTTAGGTTTTTTGAGTGTTTTTAAAAACAACCACACTTTAATGAATTAGCCAAACATGTTTTGTTTCAAATGAAAACATAAAAAAATAAAAATAAAAATAAAAATAAGAAATATAAAAAGAATAGTGATCCCAAACATCCTCTTAAGTTTAGAGAATACCCAATCTGATTTGGTTAGGATTAGCTTGATGTAATGAACCATCCTACGATGCTTTCAGTAGCTTCGCTAATTGATCAATTAGATCCATTGTTCGTAGATCATCTTGTTGCTGGAGGCTCTTGATTGGATCAATAGGTTTAGCTTAGTGTGGTTATATTAGGCACACAGCTTTAGGTTAGACCATTTTTACTGCATATAGTTTTTGATGCTTACCATGGGGCTGGTCATACTCTTGCCCTCTAAATAAATGTCAATCAGCATTCAGAAATTCTAGAGTAGCCCCTAGATAAACCAATAAATAGGTCCCATGTCAATCATTTAAAGTACCATGCTTTTCTTCATTACGGAGGGATCTCTAGAGCTCTGAAAAATCTTTTAGGTTCCAATCCCTTTTCCCCTTTGAGCTAACTCTCTATCTTCTAGGGCAGTTGGGATTTACTATATATATATATATATATATTCTAGTTCATATACACAATGATCACGAGAGCTCTGCTAGGGTTTGGAGCTGCGGGCGATTTTGTAGCGACTCAGAGATGCTAACGACTACATGATCTCGACGGCACCCCCTGTTGAGATCCTTCCAGTTTTTCGGTTTTGGCTTTCCCATCGCTCTCGGTTTTCATCTCTCGTCCTCTCCTTCTCTTTACGGTCATGACTAAGATTTACGCTGGGGTCACTGCGGGGATTTTTTCATCTGGATCTCCTTCGAAGTTTGTCTTCCCTTCTTCTTTTCATGAATCGCTTGTTCTTGGAGGTGAATATAATTTCATTAAATCTCAAGGTCGTAAGGGGGGCAAAAATGCGTTTTTTTTCTCCGACTCTGAGAACACTATTCTCGACTCAGCTTGTTGTTTTCATTTAGTTGGTAAATTCCTTTATGGTCTCCTGAAGTATGATTTTTTGATAAAGAACTTTGAGTTCTTTAAATTATCAGGAGTGTGGAAGATTGGAGCCTTAGATAGTCGACATATTCTGATACAACTTTCTAATGAAGATGATTACGCTAAGCTTTTCGCCCGTAGAACTGTCCATTTTGGTGATGTTTGGATGAATGTCCTTAAATGGACAACCGAGTTTGACCCCAAAACCGAGCTTCCTATTATTCCTGTTTGGCTTAAACTTCCTGTTATGAAAGTGCATCTGTTCAATCATGAAATTTTATTCTCAATTGCTGCCATGTACGGAAAGTCTTTAATGCTTGATGCTCATACTTTTAATCTAACAAGGTTCTCGGTTGCTAGAATATTAATAGAAAAGGGATGTCACCTTACCTCTTCCGGAGGAGATTTGGATAGACTCTAGTCATACTGGTTACTGACAGTAGGTTTTGCTTGAAAATCATCCATATTACTGTATGTATTGCAACATGTTTGGTCATGATTCTGATCATTGCTTTCATTTACATAATGAATTAAGGAAGTTTTCTACCACTCAACCGCCCTCTGGTGAGCAGAAATCTGCTCTTTCTACTTCCTCCCAACCATTTATGCAGACTGCTGATGCTGTCATGGTTTCGGTTGACCCTCTAACCGTGGATGTTGCGGCTGTAGGGGGTTCGAATGATTTGCCTGCTCTCTCTGTAGATGCTACCAGGATGCCTCCTCCTGTTAGTGTGGAAGCTAAGGTGGCTCATGTGTCTTTTCCCGTGGATTTTACAATTGGTAATTTCGCTGAACCCTCTGTTTTCCCTGAACTTCAAACCGAGCCCTCCATTCACATACTTACTGTATCACCCAATCAAATAGAAACTGTTGATCCCGCTCAACCTTCAACTACTGGGATTACTTCTTCACAACAAGACCCATCACGATTAGCTGTTTCTGCCTTAGAATCTGAATGACAAATTTAAAGATATAGCAGAAAACGAGGTAGAAGGAAATTTGAACTTCCAAAATTGACACAATCAAATATTACTGATGTCACTTATCACTCAGAAGGTGAGCACTTGCACCTACCCCCTAGGATTGGTAGGTGGGAGGGTGTCATGGGCCATAATGTTTAATGTTTTGGTGTGGAACATTAGAGGAGTGGCAGACCCTCACTCCTTTAATTGTTTAAAGCATTTATGTAGGGTCCATAAACCTGGTATTCTTGTTCTTTTGGAGCCTCTTGTTTCGATTCATAAAGAAAACATCATTAGAAGCTCAAGGATTATTTGCATTTCTGTAATGTGAACAACAAAATTTGGCTATTTTGGCAGAAGGATATCACTGTTAATATCATTGATGACAATGTGCAATATGTTCTCATTCAATATTAATTTGAAATGTTTTCTGGTTGGACTACATTTATTTATGCCAGCTCTCTTTTAAGGGATAAACTCTTTCTTTGGCAACAACTTACTCATATGGGGGTTGTCATTACTGATAATTGGTTCGTTGGAGGTGATTTAAATATGATTATGTCGCCTATAGAGAGATGAGGTGGTGTTAAGGTTGACACAAGTCTTATAAATCATTTTTGTGAACATATTGAGGAAGTTGACCTTTATGACTTAGGTTTTTCTGGCCCTTTTTATACTTGGCGGAGATGTTTTCTTATGCAACGTTTGGACAAATTTTTGGAAAACTCTCAATTTTTGAGCTACTACAATATTATACAAGTCAAACATTTGAATCATGCTGCTTCGGATCACAATCCTATTTTGCTTACTTTAACTTTTCATTCCAAACCTTCTCGCTATCATTTTAAATTTCTTAATGTTTGGGCTACTCACACAACTTTAATTGACTTGATTAAGCAGGCTTGGATTTCCAGAGGAAGTGAAAATCCTTGACTTACTTTGTGGCAATTACATAAGAATGTGGTTTTTCATTTAAAGAGATGAAATATTGACACTTTTGGTAATGTTCACTCTAGGATTCTAAAGGCCTAACAGGAGGTGGATTCTTTAGAAGCTCAGGTGATTGCTACTCTCGATCTCGTGTCTAAACTAGCGGATGCTCATCACATTCTTTTAGAGGAAATTTCTATTGAGGAGGATTTCCTTACTCAGAAAGCTTGTGATAATCATTTCAAGAATGGTGACAGAAACACCAAATATTTTCATGCTACTATCAAATATCGTCGTAACATAAATACCATCATCAAGATTGTCACCGAGGTGGGCTCTGTTCTCACTGATATTGATCAGATTGGTTCTAATGCAGTTGATTATTTTTCTTCTTTTTATGCTGATACTCCTCCTATCACTAATATTATTTCTGATTTTTTTGAGAACCAAAGAGATGATTTTCAATCTCTCTTTGTCTGACCCCCCCACTGAGTTGTAAATTTTTAATGCCCTTAAAGATATTAGGTCATAGAAGGCTCCTGACCCGATGGTTTCACCTCCACTTTTTATATTTCATGTTGGAGCATTATTAAGAATGATGTAGTGCTGGCTATTCAAAGCTTTTTCCAGGGAGTTTACTCTACAAAGTATTTCTCTGCTGCTTTGATTGTTCTCATCCCTAAGTTTAATACAAAATCACATTGGAAAGATTTTAAGCCCATATCACTAACCTCTGTTGTCTCTAAAATTATCAGCAAAGTGATTGTGGCCCGTCTCAAACCTCTCCTTCTCTTATTTCTCCTCAACAATCGGCCTTCATTAAAGGTCGTGATATTTCTGATAATATTATATTGGCACATGAAATTTTACAGGATCTTGATAAAAATTGCAGGGGTGACAATCTGGTTATCAAGCTTGATATCAAAAAAACCTTTAATACCTTAAA